TATTGAAGGATGATGCTCCATACCAAATGCAAGTAATACTCCATGATGAGACCAGCAAGGCTGATGTTGCTTGTATCACTTATCAAGCTAGAGCTAGAATTCAATAACATATTAGCGTTGACATGTAATAATACATCATTATGGGTAAAGTCTTTAATGAAGATAATATAATGAATCATGAATATTAAGTTGTTAGTCATTTGCTTTCAACAATACATCCAATGTCTACCATCGTTTAGGTAGACATCCTACGTCTACCTAAACGAAATTTTTTGTAGAAATCATGCGTACATCTTCGTTAGCAGTCTCGGAAGGTTCCTAGGGCTTAATAATACTGCTTTGAGAATCTGAAGCTTAAACAAAGCAGATCAAGATTACGTTGTTGAAAACCATAAAGAGCAAACGAGGGTAAATTGAAGAATCGTTTTGTGGCGACCCTGCTCTACCGGAATTGCACTAATATGCCATTCGCTCTTGCCGAAAAATACTGCTTCTAGATCATATCCTTTGAGTAGTCTGTCACAATATGGCAGCTACGTCCGTACATATCAACCAGTGGTGCACCTTGAACTTCCGTTCGGGATGGGAGGGGGAGCCAAAATTTTTTTTAAACGAAGGTAAGCATTAGGAGGTGGCTGATATCGTATTTACGTTTTTGAATGAGATTATTTATTATTTGCTTCACAGCATCGATTTATGACACTTTATATTTTCACATCTCTACTCAAACAGAAATGCGAGATCATAACAAAATTATTAACAATTACTATCACAGCTACTAACGTCCTCAACCAGCACTACAGAAATCACAGCTTTTTCGGCAGTTTTTCATCATCCATCCGCCGTGATTTGGATGATTGCACAAATTCTTGAGAGCCCATGCGCCGCAGTAAACATTTGTGTCATCGCAGTCTGCGCGAAGAATTTTTTTGAATCGAGATTTGATTCTAAAAAAATTGAACTCACTTGGTATACAATACATTTTATTCAATATCGCAACATCAGCAGCGCTCATTGCATCTCGTTGTCCCAAGAGTCCAAGGTTTTGCTCTTGATTGACCTAACAGGATTTAACAATTCTAATGTTGATCGAAACTTTGAGAAGGCATCAGTAATGGAATAATTGAGATTTGCAAATTAAACAAAAAGTGGTTTACCTTTGGTATCATCGTTGGCTTCGCGATGTTTACCGCTCCTGTGTATGCGTTATAGTGCATGATGCTACCGTAGTCATACTTTATTCCATAACTGAAATTATGAGAATGATTACATGGTAAATGTTTGCACGGATGTTAAAAACCGGGACGCATAACAAAACTACTAGCAAATTAGGTCGAAGGTGATTACCTATCAAGAGAGTATCTTATTGTTCCCTAATTCCTTCTTGTATCAATTTTTTGAGAAATCTAAGAATCACGACAGTTTGGATTATGGTTCGCAGGCACGAAGCAAATCATCCTGTACTGGCAGTGACGATCTCATAGATTTAGGTGTCCCAAAAACTTTTTGAGAAGATTTTCGAAATTTACGCAAACCTGAATCATCAAAAAAACGAGAACAACTAGCGTAACCGAAACATTAGTTTGAATGCTAATAAACTTCTATAGATATGAGATTTTTCATTTACATATTCACAAATGAAAGTGTTACTCAGATAATCTGTGACCGTAAATCACTTCCTCAAATATCGTCACTCAGTCTCAAAAGAGGTTTCAATAATTATTATTTTGGGCATGATATGGCGCGATAGCTTGTAGTTCGAACAAAACATTTAGGCTTTTTCTCCAAAAAAAAATAAAAAAACTCACGTTGTAAACATTTTCGAATCAGCGACGACGAAATAATCGTAATGCTGAGGGTTGATATTGCTCCAGTCGATTGTAAGATGCTTATCTCTGTCCATCCTCAAGTGTTGATGATTTAGACCAAGAGCGTGAAGCGTTTCATGTAAGGCTATTCCTCGAGCCTAAAAAGCGAGTTCAATGATTATAAGTTCGGTAAGAAGTGTAACATTCGCTCAAAAATGAAATGTAGAGCCAAAAGACTTACTGTTCCACACTGAAAGCTTAGGTAAATTGGATTAGCTGGCTCCGTCCTTCCGATATATGAAAGACCGCAGCTGAAGCAATACATTTTTTAGTGATTCATATTTGACAGCTTCATGCACACTCACAAGGTTGGGTTATCGATCTTTATATAATTTATATGGTAGCCCGTAGGTTTTTCCACATATTGGAAACGTAGACACGATTTTTGCTCGATCTCTTTTAGCGCACTGCGCACGTCGTTTTTATCGTATTCAGCTGAAATTATACTTTATAAACAACAGTTCCTCCTTTTTTCAGAATTTAAACGAGCTCATAATGAAAAGTCGTTTTTCACCCACATAAATGGTGAGGAGCCTTGTGGCAAAAATCAGCATTGGAGTTAGAGCTTGGTCCTTACCTAGAGTATCATCGAATGTGTATGGTACAGGTGTGTTCGGATCCCATTTTTGCACAGGATTCTCCTCGAAGAACACTGAGGCTCTAAAATTCATATTTTGGATAACTGACATTTTTACTAGAAAAGGATCGAGTTAGATGCACTTGAAAGTCATTTCGGAACAAGGAACTCTTAAGGCTTGGCCCTTACTTATCCCGCCCCCTCCTCCCCTTCCCAGAAATCAGAAAGTTATGAAGATACAATTACGATCACAGTTCGAAAACGCTGCTTTCGCGATCTTCTAAAAAATCAAATAACAGGTTTGAAGATTTTGTATGGACCTCGTTGAGCCTTATATAGAAGTTAAGAAACTTGAAATGAAAATGCTTTCTGCAAACCTCTTAATCCTATCGTCACTAGGCGGTGGCGGCGGCTCATCTGTACCAACACCTCCTTTTCCTAATTCGTTGAGAAGGAAATGAGCTTGCTTCTCGGTTAAGAGCACATCTTTGTCGAAAACTCCATTATCAGCTGCTGTTACCTAAAATAATCCTAGTTGCAAAATAATCACCCACAAATAAAAAGAGCTGTTCAATTTCGCTTTTATTTAACAGAAGATTTTAAACAGAAAAGCTTGCGAGACCACTTGAAGATAATACCTCCATCTCTTTATTTTTTCCTCAATACTGAGTTTCTAGATTCTATATATGATTATGAGGTTTCTTTTAGCTAGCATGTTTTCCCTTTATACTTTCTCACAGTGAAGTCTGACAATGTAACTTACCACATTTGACAAATTAGCCCTTTCTAGAAGCGCTTGTTTCACTTGCATGGTTCGGTCTAATCGAAGATTGATATTATCAGTATTATCTTTTCCAGTAACCGTCTTCTCGAAGTCGTAGAGCTGTAAAGTGGGTTTCAAGGCAAAGTTAATCACTAGCGCATTCGAGGCTGACCTTTTTGACCACAGTCTCCTTGAAAGCTATTTGATCTGGTGGCTGTTCCATACATTTGAAGTTTCGGCAAACATTCTGAGATAGTTGATATTTGATGCTGAATTGGGATAGGTTCATCGCTTACTCTGATATGAACACCAGCTTCTGGGCTGATGGCGCCAAGGCGGAACATGAATTCTCTAGCTGCATTGACTAGATCTGGATTTATACCTTGCAAAGGATCTCGAATGAAGAGCCTGAACGAAAAATTATGTGCCATAAAATCTAACTACAAAGTGGTACATACGGTAGTTAACCTACAACTTGTAATTTTAGGCGTTCCTGAATTGAAGGAAAAATCTGATTTATAAGCTTACCTTGGAACTCTAGGTAAGAATTGTCCGCCTTCTCTAAGAACGGTTTGGATGATGTTTTGTATCTCGCCAAACATCGGAATGTTACCGCCTCTGCAATTCATAGACCACTGGTTTACTAACTAAGTCTAAGAGCTTTTAAAAAATGTAAGGCAATTTGAAACTTTTCAGAAAATCTCAAAAACGGTAAAAAAAGCGGATTGAAATATAAAGTGAAGTTAATACTATTTCAATCTCAAACTTGGAAAATTTTTCGGACAGCGCTAAAAATCTATGACTTACAATGTTAAAGGAATTATTCTATTTTGAAAAATATTCTGCTGGACAAGCAATACTCAAGAAATGTTCCAAAGTCTTTACCTGCATCTAGGATGTCCAGGAAATCGTCTGCAGAACCTTCTTGCTCGTCTTCGCCAAATATGCTCAGGAGGAGGTGGGCCACGTCCCCAACCCTAAACACTTTTATTTTCAAACTTTGCAATGCTGAAAATATACATAAATCACTTTTGCAATGAATACGTTAATGTTTCAATACGTGCACAAGTGCATAGATTAGAATTATCCCAGAAGGCATGCTTACAGATTAGAACTAGAAGAATTCACTTCATCCCAATTGGGAAACAAATCAACAGAAGCAAACTACATTATCTAAAAAAATCTCTACGTCATGCAGCTACATAATACGATACCTCTTCTGCAAATGCAAAGTTAGTGAGACCTCTCTCGGTGCTTCTAGATTTTTGCAGAAACTAAAAATTATTGTGCTATCGATGACTTTACGGATGGTGCCTTTGCATAGCGTCTAATAACTATGCGCAAGTCTACTATCTACTCTTTATTGCTTACACGTAAACTATGAATAATATCTTCTCCGTTCATGCCAATCAGACCGTTTGCAACATCTGCTGCCATTCTGCCAACTCCTTCTGCGGCTTCACCAAGGGCTTCGCCCAATTGGCTCAATCCGTCACCCTCAAACACTCGCTTTCTTGGTTCTGACTAATTTTAGACTGCTATGGGATGAATCTAGCTTTTCTAGGTTCCTAAAGACTACCTCTATACTTAGCGTTTCTAAATCGTGTACACTCACCATAAATCCTGGTCCCGGACCATCATTCGGTGGTGACCATGGAGGCGGCGGTCCTCGTGGTGGCGGAGGAAATTGGCGCATTGGGGGACCACCTGGAGGTGGTGGACCTATAGGCGGTAAAGGACCGTCACGGTGTAGCTGGTGCGGACCACCACGATGTGGAGGACCTCCAGGAAACGGTGGTCCATCTGGTCCTCCCCAACCTCTTGGTCCACCTGGACCTTGATTACCCCATCCACCAGGGCCTTGATTTCCCCATTCAGCCTGACCTTGG